CTGAGGCCTGAGGAAGGTCTCTGAGGCAGTGGGATGGGGGCTGAGGCCTGACAGCACAGGCCTCAAAAAACTGGATTACTTGCTTTCACAGAGCATAGCCAGCTCCCAAATGGAGGGAGCAGCCATCCAAGCATAGTGCATTTACCCGTTAACTGCCCTTAGGTTGAAATCCCAAGTAGCTGGAAGCTCTAAGAGCTCTTGGCCTTGGTGAAGGTGAAAGTCAGGAAGTGCAGGGCCCACCAGGGACTTCCCCAGGGAGCAGAAGGGCAGTCCCCATGGGCTGGACCAGGAACAGCAGTTGGGGCCACTCTGCGTTCCAGAGACTAGGTGTGCTTTGTTCTCATTTTGTGTTTCCTTTTTGAGGCAGGGGCTCAGAGTCTCACTCTTTAGCTCAGGCTTGAACTTACAGCAGTCCCCCTGCCTCAACCTCCAAAATGCTAAAATTTGTGATTCCAAATATCTAGTTCTACTGTGGTTTAGATGGCTCAGAGATATGGATTTTTATGTATGTGTTCCATTGTTTTAGTTTAACCACTAAACCTTTTCAGAGTCTGGCAAACATCACAGCCAGTGATCTGCCACTGGCACACTCAAGCATTTCTCTTCATTTCAGGGGTAAGGCATAGTGCTCATAACTAGCAGTAGCCAGGTTCATTCTTGAAAGGCAACATAAGGTTTGTCAGGACCTTACCAGTCTTTAGATGTCTGTATATAGTGTATCATGTGCTGAGCTATTCTTGGTAGGTTGTGGGTCCTTTCTGTCTAGCAGTTTCAAAAGTAAACAAGCAGCAAACCCGTACACCAGCACCTAGCCAGGCAGGGTGCAGCCCTGTGGTAGTGACTTCCCTGGCATTTTCAAGGCCTTGGCTTCAGTTGCCAGCACTGCAGAGATTAAGAGACAAAGACACGATGCACACTCGTCACTGAGAAGACTTGAACATGGCCACAGAGACGGAAACCATTCAGAGAGAGAAGCCGTCTTGAATGTTCCTTAGTGTTGTCAGAGAACTTGTGTTGTGCCTGCCTGGCACACGAGCTTTGGGTTGAAGCATATGTACATACAGGAAAGGGCAGTTTTAGAAGCACAAAGGTGTAGCGGGTTGTCTCAGAAAGAACAAAGCCTGTGCTTAACACTCAGGGAGGCACAGCTGCTCCCACCTCAAGGGTAACCCATCCTGATAGCCAACTTCAGTTGGTTTTATTTTAGTTTTTGTTTGTTTTATTTTTTGAGATAAGATCTCACTACATAGCCCAGGCTGGCCTGGAACTCAGAGATCTGCCTGTTTCTGCATCCCAAATGCTGGGATTAAATACTGTACCAGCACTTTTGCTATATTTCCTCCATTGTCCTCTACTGTCTCCTTCTATAGCCCAGCCTGGCCTCACACTCACTCTGTGACTGAGGATGAGGACAACTTTGATAGCCTCCTTTCTCTGTCTCCTGACTCCTAGACTAGACTGACAACACCATGCCTGTTTGGTGCTGGAAACTGAACTACATTACCAGCCATATTTACCCTTCTGTGTCCGGCTTCTATTCTATGTTACATGTTTAAATTGTCTGTACATCCCATATAGCTGCAGAAGATGCATTCACGTGGCTAAGTGTATGTTAATGTCAGAACTCTAAGTTGGAAAAGGAAGAAATGGGGACTGTTAACAGTATAATTGTCCCTTCTGTTGTTGACAGACATTGGGCAGTTGTTTCTAACTCAGGGCAATTGCAGGCTGCTCTGTTGAACATCCTGTGTCCTCTGGGGAACATCTGGATGCATTTTTGCTCAGTATCTCTGTGCCCAAGAGAAAAATTGCTGGGTCATTAGGTTTGCATGTGTTTTCTGTGACTTGACTGCCAAACAGTTTGCAAAGTGGTAGTTATACCAGCTGCTGCCCACAGCAGTGGTGTATAAGATGTCTTCCCTGTCAGTCTGGGGGAGAGGCAGGACCTGCATCTCCGTTTCTGCCTTGAAACTGAGCACCTGTCCACATACAGATCTCCACCTGGATGGTAGCTGGTGTCCTCTTCTCCAGAGTTCTTTCCCTCCTGCCTGCCTCCTGCAAGGCAGGAGTCCCCATTCCTTCCTAACGGCTTGTGCTTTACTTGGCTGTCAGTCCCCGGTTGACTATGTGTTGGAAACACCTTCCCCTTTGGTTTGACTTGGATTTCCGAATCAATTCTTCAAGGAACTGAGCTTCTTAACCTTATCTGAGTTTACTTTGTCTTCGCACTCCTTTATGGTCAGCGTAGTTCCTGCTTAAGGAACCACTGGCTGTGCCCAGCCATCAAGCTGTCTCCTGCTTTCTTCTAAAGCACTTTGTCACATTTCACAGCTGCCTCTGTGGTACCAGCTGTATTTCAATTTCTGTTTATTGAGAGGATCATAATGACAAGAACCTTTGAGAGACTTAACTACATCTGTGATTTATTCACAGCAGTGCCGTGACACATTTGGAGAGTTGTAGAGCACTTTCTGTCCATGTAGAAGTCATACTGCGTGCTGTCTACACAGGTTACCGCCCACAGTGGGGATCCCTCAAGGCTTTGCATCCACACCCGGAGGGTTGTCAGGGATTTCCTCTCAGCCTTGCTGATGTCAGATATTCCTGTCTGTTCATTCTCTCCTTAAACAGACAGACAGAAAGCCTCTCTCTGCCTGGTGCTGTGCCACAGAGATCTGGGAGTGCCACAGTGGAAAACAGGCAAGACTGGAGGGCCCGGTCTAGTATGAGGATGCCAGTCACACAGAAAACAAGTCCAGCATGTTGCTGATGTCCTGGTGCTTTATGGTGTGTGAGGGTTAGACTAGCACAAAAGGGGGAGGGCAGGAAAGCCTTTGTACAAGAAGCAGCCTTGAGCCATGTCAGCCAGGTGGGTGGACAGCGATTGAAGGTTCTTCTTGAAATTGACATTAGCCTTTCAGAGCAGTCAAGTGAAGGCTGTCCCTCTCTCCTACGTTGTTTGTCAGAGAGCTACGTGGTGGCACCTGTCAAAAGTTAAATTGCAGTGAGTAGTCACTGGGGATTGAGTGCCCATGTCAGGTAAATGCCCAGGAGTAGAACAGTGCCCTGGCTCCTCTCTTCCAGTTCTTTAATTCCCCCCACACACAGTTGCTCAAAACACTGAAGTACTGGGGATTTTGATGCCCATCAGTAGAGGAATGATTAGTCTAAGAGGCGCAATGCACATGCTCAACTATTGAGAGAAGCAGCAGCCCACTGTGTACTGTGAGGGACCATCCTAAGGGGCAGAGGAGCTGGGCACATACCTGTGATGGTCTCTGCCATGAGACATGGAGCCAAGCACGTTGGTTGTTGTTTTGTTTTGTTTTTGTTTTTTTCCCTAAATGTATGTGTTTACTGGCTCAAGAGAAAATGTTTTTAGTCTAATTTTTATGTTTAAAAAGTTTACTAAATGCTGTTTGGTATCCTTATTTGGATCCTCTAATAGAAGAAGTATGTTAGTTGAAGAACTAGTGACATCTGAAAGACTGGTGCCATGGCAATGCTGTGGTCTTCACTGTGGCAGGTGTCCTGTAGGTCGGGCGTTAGGTGATGCTAGGTCAGGTGACCAGGCACACTGTCCCTGTCATCTTGATTGTCTTCCTTGTCCTAATCTCCATGAAACTGCCATGTTGCATTGCCAAAATTGTGTCTGAGAAGGAACAGATGAGGAAATCAAAGCTTATGCCTCTTCTCCTGTCCTCTCCCTTTGGTGCAGGCCGAAGAATTCCATCCACAGATGCCAACCCGCCGTCCGGCGGCAAGGGCTTCAAACTCCGAAGACAGCCATCAGAGCCAAAGCGAAGCTGCTGCTGATGACCCAGGCCCCACACTGATGAAGAAGCAGGTGGTCCTGGACGGTGCAGGAGGACCAGTCCCTGCCATTGGCAACCGCCTCGTGCCCTGGAGTCTTCTTCATGCAAAAAGGACTCAGAGGAACTGGCTGTTGGGTTCTCTTGGAAAACTGCAGCAGGTGTTTCCATCTGCAGACTTCTGGTGCGGACTCTGGCTTGCAAAGGGACCACATCCTTGGCTATTGACCTAGCTGAAAGGAGCATCTGATATATGGATGGTAGGATTGAATTGCTGGTGCTTTTGTAATCAGGATGTCATGTATCATTTGTAAAGGGAAATGAGCACTTTCATGGATCTTAAGGGAAAAGGCTACGGAGATGGTCATCTCCTTGGTCCTTGTCTCTAGTGTCAGCGTTGCGTCATTTAAGATATAGAAAGTGATCACAGTGGAGGGACGCTTGTTCCTGGGACAGTCTCCACCATCTCTAAAGCACTTTCCTACACAGTAAATTAACACACAGCGGCAGCCTGACTCACCTTGGGTTTACTTCTGACCCTGTTTATGTCACCACATATTATTAGTTTTATCATTACCTTTCTAAATAAGTTCTTGTGGCCCAGGGAATGGTGTAGAGACACTCCTTGGAGCCAGTTGAGTTACATGTGTCTACACTGATAAACAGTGGTTTAAAAGGAAGAGAGAAAGAACAAAGGAAATGGTTTTTTGTTTTTTGGCCCAGGTATTTTAATGGGGAAAAAAAATGTGTGCTGCCTAGCAAATGTATATTTGTAGTCTATATTTATGAGACCGTTGCTTTAAAATTATAAATTATGTAAATACATTAATAACTTCTGAATTCTGTTCAGTACTCCATTTAGTCCTATACCCCGTCTCACGTGTGCCGCCCCCCCCCCCTTTTTCAGCTGGTCCACAGAATATTTTGAAGCACATTCACCTTGTGCAGAAGCATAGAGCACTTAGCTCACAGCCTGCTTCCTCTTCCCGAGCCCCTCTGCATCCCATCTGGAAATGGTAATAAAGACATATGCCTCCTGGACAAGCCTGACCAGTCCTTCCTAGCCTGGGGCGAGGGAGAGCCCAGCACCCGTCACTCACCTGGCTTTGACAGTAGCAAGCTCAAACCAACTGTGTTCAGAGTGCTTTGCTTGTTAACAGCCGGCTCACCTCGTCCTCCTTTATTTTCTCTTGCCTCTGTTAGTGCTTTGCACTCTTTTCCCTCAGGAGCCTAATGAGGTTCTTAATATAATCTAAAAATAAAGCCCCCAAGTGAAACTGCTGGAAATTTGTTCCTGGCCTGATTTGGCACCCTTCCAGCCCGAGTATTGTAAGGGAAGGAAATTTACAAGATTAAATAGGAAATGAAACAGCTTGAATTTCAAACCAAATGTGTTTTCAGAGCGGTCCTTAACTGAACAGTCAAAACTTTTCAAAACAATTGTTACTACTTTGTGCCACTCCCCTATATGCTTAAAATGGAGAGGTGTTAACGGAGGGTGACCCAGGTGGCCCAGACTGAGCGAGGCCATGTAAGCGTCAGTTGTTCATCCTCACTGAGATCAGGCTTCCAGCACCTTGTGTACTGAGCCTCCTGCACAGTGTCCAGTTCACACGCATGTAGAGAAAACCCTGTGATTTCCCGAGACTGGCTCCTTCCACCTGTGGTGGCTTGATAGGACTTGACATAGACCTGCAGGAGGGTGTGTCTCCAACAGTCCCACGCCAAACCTCCATCTCCAGGACAAAACAAAAACAAAGCTGCTTGGCTCATGTGGACAAGGCTGCCCATGTGAGACCCTTTCTGACTTGTTTCACCTAAAGATGGTATAAATTTATCATCTGAACAGCCCAGTAGATTCTGGAAGTCGTGGCACATCCCGTGGCTGATCTCCTCTGTGGCACGTGGTAGCTTCTCTCGCTAACTCCCTCTCGTGCCACATGTAGGGAGTGACTCTGGCCATGGCTGCATGTCTTACCAACAGGATGAGCAGCATGAACCCTCTGTTCGTGTCTTTCTTGCCCTCTCTGTCACCAGTCTGTCCAAGAAGGGGGCCGCCCTGCTTGTGGTATCATGTACTGCTTAATGACAGCAGGTTCAGACTCCGTGAACACAGTGAGATCTCCATTTACTTTCTTAGAAAATGCACAGTAAAATGAAGTCAGACGTAGTGCTTTATTTTGACCACATTTCAGATTAAATAGGAATCTAATACATTATTTCTTATTTTCCTGGGGTTTTTTCTTAAGAGAAATATCCAGACTCCAAGGGCATTAAGACATAGCCCCTCCATAAAAATCTGGTTCCCTATGATGCAGGGCCATTTTTAAAAATTTTGAAGACTGACCAGAAAGGGAAAGATCTTTTAATTAACTGCCAGTGTGTATTGATTTCTTTCAGAGAAATTGACATAAGCTCCTTGCAGGTGTCCAGTCCTAGCAACCACTGGTCTCTCCATCTCTTCTTTTACATAAGTGTTTTTCTGATTCTGTGATAACTAATTAGCTATCATTTGATGATTAAAAGAACATAAAGTGAGAGTCTGATTAAGTGTCCTTCAGTGTAAACTCTGTGAGAAGTGATTGGAGAGAAATACCTACTGCAAGCCCTTCCGGTTCCCAGTGAAGCGCCATTGCCTGCTTGTCAGCCGCACCCAAGACAAGCACTGTGCACGGCAACCGAAAGATTTATTGTAAATTAACCTGGGTCCTTGTTCCCGTTTATGATGATGTTTGAAGTACCCGCCTCCTCTCATTGTGCTCCCGTTCCTTGGACGCCTACCCAGGTCAAAGGACCGAAATTTTCTTATGAGAGTCATGGCTACTTGAAGAGGCCAGTGTTGTTGTTGAGATTAGCTGTCCTCTGGATTTTTAAATATGCCGGGGGAGTGGGGGTGGCCCACATTGAATTTTAGAACTTGTCTGTAAGTCTTACATTTGTTCCTTGTCTCCAGGAGGAAAGTGGGTATGGGGGCTTTCTAAAGCTCTTAAGAGACACAGCTCCAAGTGTCCTGTAGGTGGCTGTCACCTGGCACCCAAAGGGCTACCAAACCAGAGGGTCTGCTGCGGTATTTCAAGGGTACCGTGTTTGAATGGGTGGGTTCAGTTTGGGGTACACTGCATGCCAGCACGTGGGCCTCCACATCCCAAAAGGCAGTAGTTCACTGCCTTCTGTCTTTTCGATTGCAGAAGAGGCTGATGGGGTTCAGCTCAGCATCCTCACTCATTCTTTCAGAACCCACAGAGACTGTGACATGTGGGCCCTTACACTATGTGATCTCTGTAACTGGCCCTTGGACACCCATGTGTCTGCAGACCCTGCAGGGGTCAGGAGAGAACCCTCCTGGGCAAAGGTAGCTGGGACGCTTAGTTCTGCCCTAACCTCCAACCCTGCTTCAGAGCATGGCAGCCGGACAGGTGGCTTGTATCACAGAACTTAGCAGGCTCCTTAGCCTGATTCTGGTGAGCACAGAATGACAGTGGGGAGCTAGGTCATGGAATTCCTTGGAAGTCCTTTTTTAAATTTGTTTTGAAGGGACAAACAACACAATTTTTAATTGTTTGATTTCATCAGTTTTTAAGGAAGAAATCGGATGTACCTTCAAGATTCAAGCTGTTAACTATGCCTTCCTTACGGCGGGGGTGGGGGGACTTGGTTGATAAAAGGTGATGGTTTAAGATAGCCCATGAATGGTTTTTTTTAATGGGTCGGTGAGATGTCTCAGCAGGTAAAGGCACTTGCTGCCAAGGCTGATGACACAAGGTCAATCCCTGGAACCCTCATAGTGGAAGGAGAAGAAGTCCACAAGTTGTCCTCCGATCTCCACATGTCCTCCCACACCACACACACAGACACATCAACAAATGTCATAATTAAAAAAATATCCTGAGCAGCCAGTTATTTAGAAGACAAGCAGAACACAGTGCAGTTTTAAAAGAGGAAGATCAGGTAGAGTTTAGCCTGAGACTTAGAAGAATGGCCTCAGTGGATTTCCTGTGACAGCGGAGAGGCTTGTCTCGACTTCAGTAATAGAAAACCAGGCAGTTTGATTATCTGATCTGCGAGAAATGTTAATGGAATGCCAGGGCATTTGTCCTGTTTTATGTGCAAATGAAACTCTAAAAAATATTAGAAGGGTATTGCCCTTCTCAGGAGCCTTCCTTATGCATCTCAGAGGGTGATGAGTGAGGGACCTACCCTGATGAACTTCATCAGATGTGCTGAGAAGGGCAGATGAATAGAGCTTGGAATCGTCGTATTTCTCAGCTCGTCCTTCAGGATGCTCTGAGCCTGGAGGAGTGATTTACTCTCTGGAGCTAGGACTTCTACCAGCATAGATCAAGTTTAATTTGATGCTCTGTACCATCAGAAATAACTAATATCTGTGTTCTTTCCTCTCAGAGGGTAATCAATTAGAGATGTGCTAGAATATTTTTGGCTTCAAAACAAAAGGATTCGGAAATTTAATAAAAAAAAAAAAAAAACTCAGACCTTCCATCGATTCCTTTTCATTATGTTGAACATTTCAGATAGCAAGATTAGAATGTATAAATAGATGGTGAGATTAAAACCATAATGTCTAAAAAACTTGCAGAAAAAAAATGTTTTAATTTGCTGTGAGTTCATTTTACAGTGTCCAGTGCCTCATCAAAATGCTGCATAATTACAACAAGCAAAAACCCGGGTAGCTCTCCACAGACAGGACTTAAGTGCCAAGCTCTGTCTGCCAATTAATAGAGAGTCCTAAGACAGTCATGATTTTTTTTTTTTTTTAAAGAGCCTCCTTTAATTGACAGTCTTCAAGCATGGGTCTTCATGTCCTCCTTAATGGCACTGTAGAAACAGCCTGCTGCTTTCCTCAGGCCACTTCTTGATTCAGGAACTTGGCAGTGTTTAGAGGCAGGTTGTGTATAGACAGTCCATTGAAGTGAATCATCTTTACACAGAACTGACATTGTCAAGGAGGCCCCAGGGCATCTAAAACCAAGTTGTGTGTTTCATCTACCACTCCACAAAGCAGGTTTTGAGTCACTTGCTCAACCAGGCTGGAGTCCACCCCATGCTCCCCCGCTCCAGACCATTGGGAGACCCTGCCCGCAGTACTGTTTGCTTTGAGGACTAGTCCTCACATCATTTGACCATCTTTAACACTTGGCATTTATATTTAAATTATCCTGAACTTTTTTCCCTCTCATCCCTGTTTGAGGTTACTACATGGTGCATGAAACTTTCTCAACTTGGGTCATGCCCATGATGTCAGAGGGACCAGTCAGATTGGTGGGGGAGGATGAATGGCAGCTGATCTGGGCTCTATTTTTAAACCATTTGTTGTGTTCTGTAGACAGAGCTTTATTGCCCCAAGGAGGATCTTTTTTATTTTTTTAAACGTCCCACTCAGTCTTTCCATCATTGTACATCATGAGTCACTCACACCATCATCAATCACTGCTCTGACCTTCAGAAATTATGGCCTGCCTTTTATATGGTTGACACTGAATTCTTGCCTTACTCTTGATTTTCTATGGGCTCTCCCTCAGGCATCCTGCCCCAGCCACCTCAGCACACATGACCTGCCCTTCCCTGGGGAGTAAAGACACCCCCCCCAGGACTTCCAGAAGGGCAGCAGGCAGCATGAGCCTACAAGGCAAACACAACTGAGTGACAGAAAGCATTCTGTCCCAGGTGATAGGACAGTGGGCTGACGTATCAGACCCCCACGGAGTGTGGAGGAAAGCACTTGTTGAGTTTCCAAGTCCAAACAAAACATCTAAACAGGAAGGAAAACCTGAGCCCTAGTACCAGCAATCCTCCTTACTCCTGAGAGCGCCATCCCTTTATCCAGATCCAGTGCAAGGAGTAAGTGCCTTGTGCCTTTTTTTAAATAGCATCTGTATGAAAATTGAGTTGTTCCTGGTTTCCCAAGCCTGGTAGCACTCTAAACAACCTGAACTGAAAGCCGATGATGGACTGCCTGGTTACCTGGAACACAATACTGGAATGAGGGTTTGCCAAGCCTGGATGGGTGTTTGATGACCATTTTTGCAGTCTGACCTTGGGCTGGACCTAAGTCTATGTAAACTGTATGATGTCTGTTTTGTTTGTAAACACTGAAAAATGGACACTCCGCCTTTTGCTTTTTGTTGTAAGATTTTTCTTTTGTGTACTTCTGTTTGCAGATGGTAAATCTGGAATACTTTGGAACAGTGTTTCTTCAGCTTGACTTCTGTGTATGCTTTTATAGAGTATGGCATGCTCCATCACTATAAAATTTGTGTCGAGAGAGGTGTAAACATTTTGTTAATAAAATGCTATGTTTACAGATGCATGATTCAGACTCCAGTGCTTTCTCTCTTAAGTATTCATCACAATTTTTTTATTTTGGTTGAGATGTATTCTTCAAGTTTAACCCAAACATCATGAATTCAGCTCTGCCAAGTACTGTGATTTCCAGTTATACATACCACACCCATTGCCCTTCACACCATTCTAGCCACGTATTCCAAAGACATTTCAAACAGGTTGGGGGTATACATAGAGTTCCAAAAGATTGGGATAGCTAGGTCGTGTCTAATGAAAGGTGGTATATCTGTGTGTGGTGTCTGCTGAACGCTGGAATATCTGTAGTGTCTGGCAGAAGGCTGGGGTATCTGTGGTATCTGGTGAAAGGTTGGTGTATCTGTGTGGTCTGGTAGAAGATTAGTGTATCTGTGTGGTGTTTGGTAGTGTATTGGTTTGTCTTTGTGCTGTCTGGAGGAACACTGGTGTATCTGCAGTGTCTAGTGAAAGGTTAGTGTGTCTGTGGTGTCTGGTAGTGTGGTGGTGTCTAGGAGAAGCTTGGTGCATCTATGTGGTGTCTGGTGGTATGTTGATATATCATGTGGTATCTGATGGAATATCAGAGTATCTGATTGGAGTATCTGTGGTTTAGATGAAAGGTTGGTGTGTGTGGTGTGTTGTGGAAGATTGGAAGTATGTTTGGTTTATCTGTGGTGTATGATAATATATTGATGTAACTGCTGGTAGTCTGGTAGATAGTTGATGTCTCTGTGTGGTGTCTGATGGAACTTTGGTGTATCTGTGGTGACTTGTGGAAGGTTGGTATGTCTATGTGGTATCTGATGGAAGGAAGGGTGGTATGTCTGTATGGTTTCTACTAGAAGTTTGGTGTCTGGTGGAAGGTTGCTGTATCTGTGTAGTGTTGGTTCAAGGTTAGTATATCTGTGGTCTCTAGTGGAATGTTGGTGTATCTATGTGATGTCTGGTGGACAGTTGGTGTATCTATGTTGTCTGGTATATGTAGCATATTGGTGTGTGTGTAATGTCCAGTGCAAGGTTGCTGTATCTGTGGTGTATTGTGAAAGATTGGTACATTTTTAGTGTCTGGTAGTGTGTTGGTTTAATTGTGTGATGTCAGGTGTAGGTTGGTGAATCTGTGTAGTGATTGGTGGAAGGCTAGTGTGTCTGTGATATGTTGTGGAAGATTGGTATATCTGTGGTGTCCAGTAGTGTGTTGGTGTATCTGGTGTCAAGTGGAAGGTTTGTGTATCTGTGTGGTTTCAAGTGGACAGTTGATGTATCTGTGATGTCTGGGAGAAGGTTTTTGATGTATCTGTGTGGTGTCTGGTAGTATGTTGGTTTATCTGTGAGGTGTCTGGTGGAATACTGGTGTATCTGTGGTGTGTGGTAGTGTTTTGTAACTGTGTAGTGTCTGGTAAAAGGTTGATGTATCTGAATTGTTGTTGAAGGTTGGTCTATTGAAGGGTCTGTGGTGGTGGTTGGTATATCTGTAGTGTCTGGTCGAAAGCTAGTGTATCTGTGGGATCTGTTAGGAAGTTGGTGTATCTGTGTGGTGTCTGGTGGAAGGCTGGTGTGCTGTGGAAGAATGGTGTATCTGTGTGGTGTCTGGTGGAAGGTTGGTGTCTGTGCTGTCTCATGGAAGGTTGATGTATCAGTGTGGTATTTGTTGAAGGCTGGTGTATCTGTGGTTTCTAGTGGAAGGTTGCTGTAACTGGTGTCTGCTAGTATTGTTGGTGTATCTGTGTGGTGTCTGGTGGTGTGTCTATGGTGGTGTTTGGTAGAAGATTGGTATATCCATAGTGTATGATGGAAGGCTAGTATATCTAGCATCCAGTGGAAAGTTGGTGTATCTGGTTTCTGGTGGAAGATGGGTGTATCTGTGTTGTCTGATAGTATATTGGTGTATCTTTGTGGTCTCTTGTGCAAAGTTGGTGAGTCTGATGTATCTGTGGTGTCTGGTAGTATGGGTGTGTCAGTGTGTTGTCTGGTAATATATTGGTGTATCTGTGTGTGTGTTTCTTTTTTTAAGTTTTTTATTCTTTGTGTCTTTTCACATTATGCCTCCAATCCCAACCCTTTCCTTTCCCACCCCAAAATAAAACAAAAATAAAATTTAAGAGAAAGGGCGGGGGAGGAAGAAGGGGAAATCTCATCATGGAAGCTGCAGCGTGACACAGTGAGTCACACAGTAAATCCTTTTATCCATATATTTTTACATGCAGGCATTTATAGAAAAGAACCATTTATTTGGTTCAAGACCCCTGGTCTCTGCAGCACCATTGACACTGGGCCCTCACTGAGACTTCCTGGATATCCGGTTGGTGCCCTATGTTGTGGAGATCCTGCAGTCCTGGGTCCAAGGACTGATGACCTCACCTACCCTGCCCCATGCTCCAGCAGATCACAGATGGGGTAGATGTTGGGGTGGGCCAATACATAACTAGTTCTGGAACTGGGTAGTTACACAGTTGGTTGGCCCACCAGCTCTCCCGTTTTGCTACCAGGGTAAGCTCTCCAGCATTGCCCTGGCTAGTTCACCCCTTGTAGTAATAAGCAGGGGCCGGGGTCCATTCTCCAGTTCTCCCACACCTACACCTTCAAGGTCAGCTCTACTATATTGTCCAGGAGAGATGTAGGGGGTCACTCTCCTGAGTGTTGCAGTTGATGGGGGAAGAGACCGCTCTCCCACCTGCCTCGGTTGTTGATGGGCAGGGAGGGAGGGATCTCTTTCCTGCCCATGCTGCCATAAAACAAATGAGTAGTGAGGACAGCTCTCTCATGCTCACAGCATTGGGGCTGGCTCACCCACACCTCCACCCACAGGGTCAGCTCTACTGTGCTGCCCAGGTGAGGTGCAGGACCTGCTCTCTCGAGTGTTACAGCTGCTTTTATGAACTCGGGGCTAGCTCTCCCACCTGCCTCATACGTTGATGGTCGGGGGAGGGCTTCTCTTCCCAACATCTGTGTGGTGTCTGATGGAAGGTTGGTGTATCTGTGGTATCGGTAGTGTGTTGTACCTGTGTGGTATCTGATGAAAGATTGGTCTATCTCTAGTATCTAATGGAAGGTTGGTGTATCTGTGTGATGTCTGGTGGAAGGTTGGTGTGTCTGTGTGCTGTTTAGGGGAAAGTTGGTATCTGGTGGAAGGTTGGTGTATATCTGTGGTGGTGGGTAGAATATTGGTGTATCTTTGGTGTCTGGCAGAAGGTTGGTGTGGTGTCTGGAAGGTTCATATATCTGTAGTGGTGTCTGATGAAAGGTTGGTTTGTCTGGGTTGTCTAATGGAAGATTGACATATCTGTAGTTTTCTGGTGGAAAATATTTGTGGTATCTGGTAAGTATGTTGATGTATCTGTCTGGTGTAAGGTTGGTGTATCTGTTGTATCTGGTCATATGTTGGTGTATCTCTGCTAGTGTCTGATAGAAGGCTGATATATCTGTGTAGTGTCTGGTGGAACTGTATATGTGGTGTCTCATTGGAGGTTGGTGTATCTGTGCGGTCTCTGGTAGTATGAATGTGTATCTGTGGTTTCTGGTAGAAGGTTGGTGTATCTGTGGTGTGTAGTGGAAGACTGGTTTATCTGTGATGTCTGGAAGTATGTTGGTGTATCTGTGACGTCAGGTGGAAGGTTGGTGTATCTGTGGTGTCTGGTTGTATGTTGGTGTTATCTGTGGTGGTGTCTGGTAGAAGTTTAGTATGTCCATATGGTATCTTTTGGAACGTTGGTCTGTTTATGGTGTCTAATGGGAGGTTGGTGTTTCTGTGGTTTCTGGTGGAAGGTTCGAGTATCTGTGTTGTCTGGTTGAAGGATAGTGTATTTGTGGTGTGTGGAAGTGTGTTGGTGTATCTCTGATGGTGTCTTGTAGAAGGTTAACGATCTATGTGGTATCTGGTAGTATAATGGTATATTTCTGGTTTCTGATGCACATGTGGTATTTCTGTGGTGTCTGGTGGAACAGTGGTGTATGTGTGGTGTCTACTGGAAGCTTTGTGTATCTGTGGGAGTATCTGGTAGAAGTTTGGTGTATCTGTGTGGTGTTGGTTGAAGGTTGTTATATCAGTGGTTTCAAGTGTAATGGTATATGTGTGGTGTCTAATGTAAGGTTGGTGTATCTCTGATGTCTTGTTGAATGTTGATGTATATGTGGTTTCTGATGGAAGGCTGTATCTGTTGTAGTAGTTAGTAGAAGTTGGTATATCTGTGTAGTGTGTAGTGGAAGGATTGTGTACCTGTGGTATTAATGGATTTTTTTTCTATCTGTGGTGTCTGGTGGAAGGTTGGTGTGTCTGTGGTAGTGTCTGGTAGTATGTTGGTGTATGATTGGTGTCTAGTATAGCATGCTGGTGTACCTGTAGTGGTGTCTAGTAGAAGCTTGTTGACTCTGTGTTGCATTTGGTACTATATTGATGTATCTGTGCAATGTCTATTGGAACTTCAGTGTATCTGTTATATTTGGTGGATGGTTGGTGTATCTGTGGTGTCCAGTGGTATGTTGGTGTATCTGTGGTGGTGTCTGGTAGAAATTTGTTGTATCTGTGTGGTGTTTTATGGATCGTTGGTCTATCTGTGGTGTCTAATAGAAGGTTCTTGTATCTGTGGTTTCTGGTATCTGTCATGTCTGGTTGAAGGTTGGTGTATCAGTGGCATCTGGTAGTGTGTTGATATATCTGTAGTCATGTTAGTATGTTGGTGTATCTTTGGTGGTGTCTGGTAGAAGAATGATGTTTCTGTGTGGTTTCTGGTAGTATAATGGTGTATCTCTAGTTTCTGGTGTATTTGTGGTATTGGGTAGAAAGTTGGTGTATTTGTGGTTTCTGGTGGAAGGTTGGTATTGTAGCTGTGGTATCTGGTATTATACTGATATATCTGTGGTTTTATGGTAGTATGTTGGTTTATCTGTGTGCTATCTGGTGGAAGGTTGGTGTATCTGTGGTATTGGTTAGAAAGTTGGTGTATTTGTGGTTTCTGGTGGAAGGTTAATGTAGCTGTGGTGTCTGGTGGTATATTGGTGTATTTGTGTGGTGTCTGATAATACGATGGTGTATCTCTGTGGTTTCTGGTAGAATGTTGGTGTATCTTTGGTGTCTAATAGAAGGTGAGTTTATCTGGTTTCTGATGAAAGGTTGATGTATCTGTTCTGTATGGTAGTATGTTGGTGTATCTCTGGTGGTGTCTGGTAGAAGGTTGATAGAATTGTGTGGTGTCTGGTGGAAAGAATGGTGTATCTGTGGTGTCTGGTTGAAGGCTCATGTATCGGTGTGGTGCTGGTTGAAGGTAAGGATATCTGGTTTCTGGTGGAAGATTGGTGTATCTATGGTGTCTGATAATTTGTTGATGTATCTGTGTGGTGTTGGGTAGAGTTTGCTCTATCTGTGTGGTGTCTGGTAGTATGTTGGTGTACCTGTGTGGTTTTGGTAGTTTGTTGGTGTATCTGTGTGCTGTCTGGTAGAAGGTTGGTGTACCTGTGTTGTATCTGGTGTAAGGTTGGTGTTTCTGTGGTATCTGGTAGTAAGTCTGTCTTAGTTGGGGTTTCTGTTGCCAAGGTGACCACAGAAACCCTTATAAGGAGAACATTTCATTGAAGGGTGGCTCACTTATATTTTCAGAGGTTCAGTCCTTATCATGACAGAGGCCATGGTGGCATGCAGGCAGATGTGGGGCTGGGGCTGAGAGTCCTTACATCTTGATAGGCAGGCAACAGGAAGCCAACTGAGAGTCACACTGAGGGAAGCTTGAGCAAAAGAGATCTCAAAGCCCACCCCACAGTGACACACCTCCTCCAACAAGGCCACACCTCCTAATAGTGCCACTCCCTTTGGGGGATCACTTTCTTTCAAACCACCACATTCCATTCCCTGGCCCCCAAAGGCTTATAGCCATATTATGATGCAAAACTATGCATTCTGTCCAACTTCCAAAGTCCCCATAGTCTATAACAGTCTTAAACTTGTTTCAAAGTCCAAAATCTCTTCTGAGATGCATGGCAATCTCTTAATTGTAATTCCCTATAAAATCAAAAGCAAAAAGCAGACCACATACTTCCAGCATATAATGGCACAGGATATACATAATCATTCCAAATCACAGGGAAGGGAGCAAAGTGAGCAAACACTGGACAAAAAGCAAGACTAAAAACCAGCTGGGCAAACTCCAAACTCTGTACCTTCATGTCTGATGTCAAGGCACTCTTCAGATCTCCAACTCTGCTCAGCTTTGTTGACTGCCACACACTTCTTTCTCTTGGGCTGGTTCCACTTCCTGTTAGCAGCTCTCCTCAGTAGGTATCCATGACTCTGGCATCTCTAATATCTTGGATTCTCCAAAGCAATCCAGGTTTCAACTTCACAGCTTTACTCAATGGCCTCTCTAGGCCTCCATTCAGGGACACCCCTGACACATGCCTGGCCTCAATGGCTTTCTTTAGATGAGGAGATGTAGCAAGTCTTTCTCTGTGCCACCAGCTCCCAAATAATGACATGGAGACTTATTATTAATTATGAAAGCTCTGCCTTAGCTTAGGTGTATTCCTAACTGGCTCTTATAACTTAATTAATCTGTTTACATTAATCTATGTTCTATCATGTGGGGTTACCCCTCTTGTATCTTGTACCTCCTGTTTGCTCTCTGTGTCTCCTCACATTGCCCACACATCTAGATTCTTCCTCCTATTCCTTTCTCTCCCCAGAAATTGCACTTATATTGGCCATTCAGTTTTTTATTACACCAATCACAGCAATACATTTTCACACAGTATACAAACATTCCACAATATTTCCTCCCTTTTATCTAAATAAAAATGAAAGGTTTTAACTCTAATATAGTAAAACCATATACAATAAGAACAATCGTCAAGTAAGGATTTCATTCAGAATGTCTAGTCTATCTGTATTTGGCAAATTCCGAGAAAATATTCCATTATCTATCCTATCTTGTTGAGTCAAAAGTTTTGTAACTAATTTACTTTCTATTCTAATTACAGAAAACTGTAGAATGTTGGTGCATCGATGGTATGTGGAAGTGTGTTGGTGTATCTGTGGTGGTATCCAGTAGAATGTTGGTGTATCTGTGGTTTCTGGTGTATGGTTGGTGTATCCGTGGTTTCTGGTATATGGTTGGTGTATCTGTGGTTTCTGGTGTATGGTTGGTGTATCTGTGGATTCTGGTGTATGGTTGGTGTGTCGGTGGTGTCTGGTAGTTTGTTGGTGTACCTGTTTGGTGTCTGGCATAAGGTTGGCGTAGCTGTGGTATCTTATAGTATGTTGATGCATCTGGTTTATGGTAGTATGTTATGGTATCTGTGCTTTCTAGTAAAAGTTTGGTGTATTTGTGGTGTCTGGTGGAAGGTTAGTGTATCTGTGGTATTGGGTAGAAAGTTGGTGTGGCTGTGATTTCTAGGGGAAGGTTGGTGTGGTGTATCTGTGTTGTCTGGTAGTATTTTGGTGTATCTGTGTAGTGTCTGGTGCAAGATTGGTGTATGTGTGGTGTCTAGTGGAAGGTTGGTGTATCTGTGTGGTGTATGGTAGTGTGTTGGTGTATCTTCTATCTGGTGGAAGGTTGGTGTATCTCTGATGTCTTGTTGAAGGTTGATGTATATGTGGTTTTTGGTGGAAGGCTGTATCTGTTGTAGTAGTTGGTGGAAGTTGGTATATCTGTGTAGTGTATAGTGGAAGGATTGTGTATCTGTGATATTAATGGATTTTTTTCTATCTGTGGTGTCTGGTAGAAGGTTGGTGTGTTTGTGGTAGTGTCTGGTAGTGTGTTGGTTTATCTATGTGGTGTCTGGTAGTTTTTTGGTGCATCTTGTGGTGTTGGTGGAAGGTTGATATATCTGTGGTGTGTTGTGGAAGACTGTTGTATCTGTGGTATCTGGTAGAGTGTTGGCATATCTGTGTGGTGTCTGCTGGATCTTTGGAATATCTATGGTGTCTGGTGGAAAGTTGGTGTATCTGTGGTTTGTGGTATATAATTGATGTATCTGTGTGTCTGGTAGTATTTTGACATATTTCTGCTTTATGGTAGAATGTTGGTGTATCTGTGGTGTGTGGTAGTGTGTTGGTATGTCTGTGTAGTGTCTGGTGGAAAGTTGGTGTATTTGGGGTGTGTTGTGGAAGATTGGTGTATCTGTGCTGCCTGGTAATCTATTTATGTATCTCTGTTGTGTCAGGTGGAAAGCTGGTGTATCTGTGGTGTCTGGCACTATGTTGGTGTCTATGTGTGGTGTCTGGTGGAAGGCTGGTGTTTCTGTGGTGTCTTGTGGAAGGTTGGTATGTCTGTGTGGTATCTGGTGGAAGGGTGGTGTGCCTGTGGTATCTGGTGGAAGTTTGGTGTGTCTGGTTTCTGGTATATGGTTGGTGTATCTGTGTTTATCAGGTGGAGGGTTGGTGTTTCTGTGGTTTCTGGTGCAAGGGTGGTGTGTCTGTTTTGTTTGGTAGTATGTTGGTCTATCTGTGTGGTATCTGGTGGATGGTTGGTTCTTTGTGTTGTCTTGTGGAACATCGCTGTATCTTTAGTATCTGGTAGCATGCTGGCATATCCGTGTGGTGTCTGGTGGAAGGTTGGGTACCTCTGGTGTCTGGTGGAAGGTTGGGGTGTCTGGTGGAAGGTTGGGGTGTCTGCTTCAGGTGGAAGATTGATGTATTAAGCAGGAGTAAACACAGAGGAAATATATCTATTTTTATAAATCATTGTGTTGAGAGCCCCATGTGACTCAGGTGAAGTGACTTTAATTCAGGTTGGGTGACTGGCTTTGCTTTCATTTGTAAAATATAAACATCTTCAGAAGACGACAAAAAAATGTGTCCAGCCCAAACTGTGCTGTGTACATCCCAGAAACATTTCTCCCGTGGTGTGTGTGTGTGTGTGTGTGTGTGTGTGTGTGTGTGTGTGTGTGTGCTTTTCTCTGTTTCTCTGTGTGTCTGCCTGTCTGTGTTTGCTTGCACAGGTCACATGGTGACCAGAGATCTGCATTCAGTGTTTTCCTAGATCGCTCTCTAGTTTAGTTTTGAGACCAAACCTGCAGCTCACCAATTGGTCCAAGTGGCTGGCCAGCAAATCACACTGTTTCTATTGTTTCCACCTCTCCAGCACTGAGATTACAGGCATGTTCTGCACCCCTGTCCTTTCCATGGGTGCCAGGGACAAACCTTTCGTGCTCATGACTGCAGAGCAAGCACCTCACTGGCTGGGCATCTCCCAGCCCTTGTTTTCTGGCCATGAGTTTTTTTTGTTTTGTTTTGTTTTGTTTTGTTGTTTTGTTTTGTTTTTTTGTCTGCTTTTACATTTTTAATGTGAACTCCGTGCAGTCATGTGGGTGTACTATTGGATCTGGCCTTGAGTCAGAATAGCACAAAGCACTTTCATTCACTCCTGCCTATATCCCTGTAGAGTACTCTACCTGCCCACAGATTCCTGTCATGTGTCCACTCTGTATCCACAGGCATTGCGTTGCTCCCAGATTTTTGCTATTAGAAATATACCTTGACAAACATTCCTGGTTGTCTGGTTGGTTTGTTGGTGCTTGTTTTGTTTTTGATTTAAGACAGGCTGTCACTCTAGCCCTGGGTATCTTGGAACTCACTCTGGTTCTGGCTGACTTGGAGCTCACAGAGAGCCACCTACCTCTGCATGCTGGGATGATGGGTGTGAGCCCCAACCCAGCTGTGATAGGCATTCTATGGTGTATACATAACATTTCTCTTGGGCAAATCCTGGGAGTAGCATTCCTGTCTCCCAGGAGGCATGTGGCATTTGTACACAGTTTTTGCCCTTTATTTTATGAGATGCACGTTTCTAAGGTGGCCCCTTCATAGAACTCACTAGCATCACGTGATTTTCCACTGCTCGGTCTCCCTGGTTACAGTCTCAAAGCCCATACCCAGCTGCCAGCAGTAATCATTTCCGAGGAGAGAGGTTGGTGATAGACACCTGCTACTTTGTAGATAATTCTGTACTTGTTCAAGCTCGTACTGTATGCATAATCTTCCTTATTTCCAAACAAAACCAGTGGAAGGAGAGAACCCATTCCTAAAAGTTGATCTCTGACTCTGCAGATGTATGCACACTTACATCTTACACACGTGACAACGTTTTAAGGGCTGTCATTTGTGTCACTGCCCACTGCTCTCTGCGCAGTGTACTGAACAAACTTGTTTTCTTTCTGCCCTGGTCTAAGGGGCAAATGCTTTCACCGGCTGGCCAAATCCTCACCACACTTTGCAGGCTTCAAAGAGCTTACGCAGCCTCTAAAAACACAGAGAAAACAGAATTTTAAAAAACCCATGCACCTCTTTCCTGCCTTCAGAAGTTTAACAAAAATCAACAGATACACAAGTGTGGTTGCCTGGCTTCCCCTTGCATGCATGAAGCCCTGGCTTCCACACACAGCAACACTAGACCTGGTGCCACACACCTGGAACCTTATCACTTAGGAGTTGGAATCAGGAAGATGGGGAGTTCAGGGTTTTCCTCAGCTACTTGGCTGGTGAAATGTTTCTTTAATCCTGGTACCTGAAAGGCAGAAGCAGGCAGACCTCTGAGTTCGGGGCCAGCCTGGTCTTCCTAGAGAATTGCAGTCTTAAAATGTAAACAAACAAAAAGCATGGAGCCGGGAAGACAGCTCAGATAAATACAAGGACCTGAGTTTAATTCCCAGAACTCACTTTAAAAAGTCTGGTGTGGTGTTTTGTTTGTAATCCCAGCACTAGGGAGGCAGAGACAGGTGGATCCCTGCCAGTGTAGCCTACAGTCTAGGCCAGTGAGAAAACCTGTCCAAAAAATAAAACCAGACACCCGAAAGTCATCCTTGGACCTCCATGCATGCACTCACACATGCACACATACATGTGTACACACACACACACACACACACACACACACACACACACACACTGAAAGTGTTTTGTTGTTCCACCATAAAGCTTAGAGCTGGCTTTGGAACAAGTGTGTGAAACTCTACAGCGCACATTTATTTTCAGTTCTGTATTTACCATAGATCTTTCTAAGCTACCTTAAATCCTCATGGAAGGAAGGGGTAAGGAAGTGTAAATACATACTAAGAGGGCAAATTAGCCTCCGGTCCATCAAAGCTGCACTGTGCAAGCTTTATAGATGCCAAGAGAAATAGGAGGAGCCCAAGCCAAAAAGGAAGGAACAGATTACCACCGCGCCAAACAAGCCGGATGTTTTAAATGCACAGAACAATGGCTTGGTGTCTTCACAAGCAGCTGACCCCAAAGCACACAGCAGCTAGGTTACCAGTCCTGGTTTCTGGGCAACTGCAGAGTTGCTTCTAGATAGATCTTGTCTTACATTGGAACTTAAATGTATCTCCTTTGAAATGATAAATTACAAAACACGCATCTTTTAAGTTTGGGGGGCGGGGGTGTGCTCTTTTAATAATAATGGTCAATGTCATGATTCCCCACTGAAAATAACTGCAGTTGACTGGGAAAACGGGCATCTTAAGGCTTCTAGAATTTACTCTCCAGGAGTATTAAGTTACCATTTTTCTGTATAGTGCTGGTTGAACCTGGAAGAAGGGGGGGGGGGGCTTTACAGCCAACACCCTGTCAAGATGAATCACTTGGTTAATTATGATTTTAATCAGACCTCCAGTCACTTTAGATTTATTTTCAGCGTCTCCTAGGAAACAAGGTAGGAACTCAGAGACCACCTTTCGAGAAGTATGTCCGGAAGTGCAGCAATCCTTAATACCACTGCTAATGGGGTAGGAAGAGGAACAGGGGGTCACTTTTCTCTTTATTAATGGTTAGTGTAGAACAGAGCTTCAGGCCTCTGTGAAATCAAGTACATGAAAAAGAAAACGGAAAAGCTACCAGGGCTCCACTACATTAGAAAGGGACTTTTTTTTAAAGGAGAAAATTGAGGAGTTGAGACTGTTAATTCAAGGTTAATGTACTTTGCCGTGACAGTGTGGCCCTATGGTATACTATCATCCACATTGGAGACCCCACCACGCCCAGATGAGGGGGTCAGGCCACGGCTTGTTTGCATATAAATGAGAACACATCTCAACTTCAGAGTTGTTTTGTTTTTTATTTGTTTTTAGCCTGTATAGTAAGTACCCTGGTGGTAGGAACAACCAGAATGCTAGCAACAGGCTGGGTTGCTGTTGGAACAGCTCAATAGCAAGACTGCCCAGTCATGAATAGCCCACCAGCCCAGGGGAGTCTTTGCCTTGGAGGAGATGGGAATGGGGGTGGGCTGGAGGGAAGGCAGGGGGAGAACAAGGGAATTCGTAACTGATATGTAAAATTAAATTAAATTATAAAATAAAAAATATTTACATAATCTAAAAAAAAAAAGAACTAGCCCACCAGATTGTTTCACCCGAATTGATTTTCATACATCTTATTGCCACTCTAATGAACCCCAAGTAAGGGAATCAGGATCCAAATGGACTTCCCTTCCTGTTCTTGAGTTCTTTCTGAAAGTAACAGGCAATGGAGGTGTGGGTGGCTGAGAGTCACTGTTTATAAATGACCTGGGAGTGAACTGGTGGCTGGATGTCTCTATGAGGATGCCATGAAGTCCATCTGCTTCTCCCCCAAAAGACAGCCACCTGGAGACAGGGAAGAACCAACCAGAGCCAACAAAAGGGTCCTCCTGAGAGGTAGGCAGGCATGGAGTGTATGTCTGTAATGCCAGCATTGGTAGGCTGAGGCAGGAGGATGACCAAGGGTTAAAGGCCAGCAATCTAAGCTCCAGAGTGAATTCCAGGCCAGCCTGGACACCATAATGAAGCCCTGTTTCAGAAACCAAGTATACCTATGGACTCAACACAACACCAAGCTATGTCCTTCAGCTAGCTGGCTGCAAAGTCCCCGTGGGAAAATGACCCAAGTCACTCATCTCAGAGACCACTTCAAGGACAAGTGACTTTTCCTGTTGGCTTCCAGGCTGGGAATCACCTAAAGCATGTGCATCATTTTGGAACAGTTAATACCGACAGGTCCCTCTTCTGTTTTGAGGCATGGTTCATGATGGCCTCGAAGTCCTGCTCCTTTTGCTCCTGCTCCCTGAGTATTGGAACTAGGGTCATACCACCACATCCGGCCTTTTGTATTCCTCTTCTAGGACTTGGTATGCGGGGTTTTGTTTTTGTTTGTTTGTTTTTTTTTTTCCTTCCCTTTTGGAATTTTGGGACAGGACATCACACTGTAGTTCAAGATATTCTAGAACTCACTCTGTCACCCAGGCTGGCTTTGAACTTGTGGCAATCCTCTTGTCTGAGCCGCCTAAGAGCTAGAGGTTACAGGTGTGAGCCACTACATCTAATTTTGGTGGATGGTTTTATTTGCTAAATGAGAAGGATGCAAACTTTATGACAAGAAGCCAAGCTTCTGCCAATCAGCACCATCCCTGCACCCATACGTACACACACACACACACACACACACACACACACACACACACACACAAATTCTGTTCTCAGCCCTCGCATGCAATTGCTTGTAACTGAGCCATGGACAGTGGGCACCTGCCTCCTCCATCGTGGGTCCGTGGGGGACTTTTTTATTGGTTCTATATGAGCCTAAACAATATGAAAGCTTGTCCTCATTTTTCATAATGCTGTCTCTTTTTTTTTCAGAGATACACCCACGTAGGCCTGTGTATACACACAAACGCAAAATGAAGAAAAGATAAATGTTTAAATTGCAGAGAAAAATGACAGAAAAGACAAAAGACTTTTTTGTAAGAGAGTAACCGGATCAGGGGAAGGGTGTCATCGGGGACCTGGGGCTCAGAGTGGGGACAGAACAGCTGAAGAGGCGGGAGCCCTGTGAGCGTGCAGATGGCTGAGTGCTGCTGAGAGCCGAAGGTCGCCTCCCTCCCCTCCCTGGTACCATCTCTCCTGCGCTGATCCATCATCGTTTATTATTTGGTTTGTCAAACGTTAGAACATCCCTGCCGCTGCAAAGTCCTACATCTCGGGCTCAGAGGAATAAATAAATGAGAAATCAGGACAGGGCTTCATGAGTCCAGACAGACACCATGCATTATCAGAGCACAAACAAATCAGGGCCCCCTAGGGAATTAAGCTTCTGAGAAATAAAGAAAAGGGAGACAGCTCTTTTGTGGGCCCTTTCCCCTAGAAGAAAATAACAAGATATTTACTACTTTGCGGTTCCTGCTGCTACCAGTTAAGAATCATCTGCTTCTGTTTAACGGCGGCGGCGTTTAAAGGTTGAGGAGGGAGGACTGTCTTCAGAGAGGAGGGAGGACTGTCTTCAGAGAGGAGGGAGGACTGTCTTCAGAGCAAAGGTGACGCCTTAATGCCTTGGCGCCTGGATACAGATGGTGTATTTGGGACCCAGGGAGGTACCCACCAGCACGGGTGAACTCATGTCCTTCATGTAGCGACAAAAGACTAACTCACCGTGCAACAACGCCTGTCCCCAGGAGTACAACAGGCCCCAGGCTTACACCTTGAAGCTCTGCCTCCTCCTGCTCCACTCCCCACCCCATGCTGACAGGAGATATGAAATCTCCTATATGTACTGTCTCTGTGATATCAGCCAACCATGGCCTCTGTTCCTTGAGTGGCCCTGCCTCTCACACACAAGAATTCCTGTGTTCCCCTCCACACAAGTGGTAAAGCTAAGAGACAAACTTCCCCTGATGCCCCCAGCTGCCAGTGGTGTGCTCTGACCCACAGAACATACACAGAATACACATCACAGAAGGACACTCTGCTTGACAGACGGCCAAGATAAACACAAGACCCCTCAACGATCACCCCTAAGCTCAGAAAAAGCATGGTCTAAACACACAGCTCCACAGAGTGATGCCGCTGTCTTAACGCTAGCCATCAGCTCACTCTAGTTTGCTTTCTTAGACAAGGTCTCACTGTGTAGCCCTGGCTGGCCTTGAACTCAGCATGTAGACCAGGATGGCCTTGAATTCAGAGAGATCCACCTTTCTCTACCAGCTCACTCTTACCTGCCCTCAGTGGTCCATGCAGAGTGTTGGTCCACATCCCCACAAGGGTCTACACCTGAACAGAGTTCTGCATCCCTAGCCTTTCTGCAGTTACCTCTAATCATTGCACTCCATTTCTAGTGTTCCCCCATTGCCATCTCCCCAAGGGATGCCCAGCGTTACACGCCAGCCCACACATCTGCAGGTATGTCAGTGGGCCCCTGTCTGCAAAACAGTGCGGTAGCCTAAGCAGCCTGTCTAGGGGTAACTTGTATTAGTCCCAGGGACCTATGGGGCCCAA